TCCTGCACCAGATTCCAGACTGAGTTAGGCAACTACATGAGGAACTCTACTCTTATTTGTAAAAGTAGTAAGGTTCAGAGCAGTCCTCCTAGTTCCACAGGGAGGTTTGAACACTTAACCAAAGTATACACTAAAGCCTCAGATAGTCGATATTTACTGTTGAAAGCTATCTAATTTTTAAGCCAATCACATGTTTAGAAGTAACCAGCAATTTCCAGGGGTTTGGGACTGAGTCTTGGTATCAAAGAGAAACAGAAGGAAAAGAAAGAAAATTTCCCAGCCATACTTTAAGGCTGTGGCATTTTCACTCTCTGTGTGTGCGCTTTGATTGCCTTCTAGATTTTGTTCCTCTCCACTAGCCAGTCAAGAACAAATTGATGATGACTTAAAAGGCTAATTTGTTTGCATTAGAGAGACCCTGAGGTAAGCCTGGAATAACTCGTTTCTGTAGAGGGAATTAAAAAAATGTGAAATAACAGAAAACTAATAAAATGCAAGGCACTGACTCCAGGGTGATAACATTTTTATAAACACAGAAGAAAAAGATCTCCTTTTATTGCAAGGACAGTCCAGCAATGCAAACACCAACCTACTCCTAAAAATTGCATTCTGTACTATTATTACCTTTATAAAGAAAGGGAAATAAAACTATTTCTCTGCTCAATAACAGTGTAAAGCTAAGAGATGTATTTGGTACAAAATCAAAATAGAAAGCAAATTGCCTAAAGATCTCTCAGGCAAGGCTGGGCAATCTAATGATACCCTCTTCCCCTTCAAATTAAAAACTAAGCCTATCAAGTTTTAGGTGTATTTCAGGAGGTTTAAAAATAGAACTTCTATCTCCATTTCATCCACAAATTGAGGCATTTAAGAAAAAAGTAATTGTCTGAAATGCCTTTTGTATACACAGGGTAAGAAGGAAACTTTGTGCAAATTGACATAATTTGGTTGATGGCAAGTTATTCCCAACTTCTTATGCTCCTTGATCAAAGCTCAATAAAATTGTTACTGCCATGTACAGAATTAAATGTATCTGTCTGGGAATAGTTTTTGGGAATTTGCAAATAGCATTCGTAGATTTTCACTGGTCTTATCCGGCTGCTTGCTAAAAGCAGTTTTCAAGCAAAGTACCCCAACAGTCCCAGTCTACTGTGCTATGGGAGAACACGCTTACTGCTTTTACAAGACAGAAGTGAACTACATCAGCTTATTCTAGGATTGATAACAAAATTCCCTATTCATATTCTCCGTGGAACTATCTCCATGCACCTACATACTCACATGTGCACTTAGCACCAGTGTCCAGGTTGTTTGCCTGCGAGTTTCATGATCGCTTCCTTTAAAAGAAGTACTAGACTAAGAGCAAAAAGTACTGTCTTCCATCCCCCAAAACTTGCAAATCTACACTGAAAAGACCGACAAAGATGGAGGGAAAGCAGAAGGAATCAATGAGTCTACTAGCAAGCAGGATGAGGGACAGGTTCTGCCCACTTGCTGCTGCTGTTGTCAAATTTTCTAGCCGTTCCAGCAGAGAAGTTCAAGCAGGGAGTTGAAGAGTAGCCCATCCCGTATTAGATTTGGGCTTTCAAACACTTTTAACTTATCTACTGCCTCAGATTTCCAAACCAGTTAAACAGAAATGAATATGTAAACCAAATCCTCTTAATGTTCAAGTGCAAAACACATTTTGACTTTTCTAATTTAAACCACCCAAATACAAAATGTATGTGTGTGTGCATATGCTGTATCAAACATTATGCTTTATCTACGTTTTTTATCCCTGGTAAGATAAAGAAGCATCCATATATGATCTGATATCCGTTATGGTCTTTAGCGTGCCATTGGAAGGCATTCAAATTCAGCAGCAATAAAGGTAGAAGAACATTCAGTAGAACTGAATTTTCGTTTTACAGATGAAATAAGTGACCTACACAGTGCCACAGAGCCTATGTATATGTCGGAGATGTTACAGCTGTTGGAGCATCACCCTTTTTCTTAACCAGCACAGGATATTTTTATGCCATCTGTATTTGAAGTAATCAATATAGAACAGATAATGGAAATAACAAGGGGCAGGAAATCTACAGCATACAAACCGCATAAGGTCCTCAACATGATTTCACACACCTTACAGCTTAACTTATTTTTAACATTATTCCTAGATAAAGTTAAAGTTAATGTCTGGCCTACCAAAGGTGTCTGAAATGCTTGTTCTGCTGCACTACTAAACCAATTTTTTAAACTTTTGACTACTAGGCCTATCTCCCCCTTCTTTTGAATTCTTTAATTTTATTAAATAAGTAGATATTATTTCAGAGCAGTAGTCTATCAGCTTATGAATGAAGCAAATATATCTGATAATTTAAAAAGTAGTAGACTGATTTAAAAACTTAGAAAGAGAGTGTTTCATTAATATGCATGAGGAAGAAAGAGGAAGGAGTATGAAGAGAAATATTCAATACTCTAGAACTGCTGTAAGTTAGAATGTGAGTGATGAGGAGTCGGGTTTAGCTTTATGAGACTACTTAAAGAAATGTATACGGCATGACAAAATACTAGCAGAATTTGATTCTTGAGTCAAAATTCTCGTCTAGTGTCATCTAAGCCATCCAGGTGCTAGCTGAGCATAAGATTTGAAGAGCAAAGGATCCTACTGTCTTGTGACCCTCTCTGCAGATCAAATTCTGATTTTTTTTTTTAAAAACTTCCCAAAGGATATGAAAACTCTCAAAACTTATATCTTATTTTATTCAAAGGCATACTAAGAATATGAAATCAATCCTAAGAGACAATACAGGTATGTGGCCTGGGCGTGATGCACTGGAACGCTGGAATAGAGGTAGCAAAGTTCAGCACAGAAGAGTAATTTGTGCTGACTCGCAAATGGATACTGTGTAATGATCAGGATTTGGCAAAGACCAAAGGAGACAATCAAAGGATGGACCAGAAAAATTGAAAACAAATGCACAGAGATGATGAGGAAAGGAGAAAGCACAGCGAAGAAAGAAATACATAGAAGACTGACGTGAAAGAACCAAAATTAGCAGTATCTATTAATAACATCACCTTTGTCTCAAGACAAACTTCTGTGCTGACTGGTGCAAGAATTTCCTCCTGCTGCTTCCCTTTGATCTGATTGTGAATATAACTTTCTACAAGTATCATAATGGTTACATACTATATATAATAACAGTATGTAATCTTGTAAATATGTTCTTCATACTACCATTCACTGCCTCTGTTAACAAAACATACTAGTAGAAGTCTCAGCAGCCTTTCAATTTCCAGGAAAACCTCACAGAAATGTAAATTTCCAGCTTCTGTTCAAAACAAAGGGTTGCATCCTGATACCAGAGCATCTTGCTATGATACAAAGCCCAAATTGCACAAAGTGATTTTCCTTGCTTCTATGTTTTAAGCTGAATACATACAAAAAAAAGAATATGAACCTTGGAAGTAGAATGCTATTTTAAAGTTCCTTCTGCATTAGCAGATAGCAGCCTTGGAGAACAGTAACAGTATTCAAGTATGTTTTACGTTTCAAGCTGGTAATGACTATCCGTATTTCTACAGGCAAAGTGCTCGGCATGAACTTCAGAGAGGCTCCTCTCCAGTACGGAGATTTCCAGCAGGAGAAAAGACCTTCAAGCTACGTCTCGGCATGAGGCTGAAAGTTGTTTCACCCAGCCATCACTTATCCCTCAAAGACAGCTTTGCAATCGGTGTTAATACATTACTGAGAAGTGCCATGCCTGACTCAGTTAGTAACACAGGTGGATTTTTTTCTTTTACAGGTCTTACACGAACACTGTGCAATAAATAACAGTCTATCAAATAAATTTTCTTTCTCTGCTTTCATTAGCTGTTCTTGGATGACAAGGTTCATTTTACTTTCAAGCTAGGGCTTGTCCTATTCTGTTCTTGCAAAACACCATGCCACATAAACATCATTTAGTACCACTGAATAAACGTGACAGAACTGAACGTTTGGCGAGCCCCAAGAGAGCACCACGTTCCCCAAACAACGCTACGTAACCTGTCGTGCACGTTATTTTGCACCTTACGGGTTCACCTCTGCGCAGGAAAACAAACCATTTTACGAAGCCTTTACGAAACCCTTTAGGAAAGCAGGTGGGACCGGATGAGGGGGCAGCCACGCTGCGGAAGCGCAGAAGGCCACATCTCGTGGTGAGGGGCGCAGCCAGGCCGGGGAGGCGCGGCGGGCTGCC